TAACTCTAGAAGATGTGAAATATTTCATGTATCTGATTAGTATTATTGATGAACAAAGAGGATTTGGATGTAAATGTTACGATGAGGATTAGTGTAACAATGAGAGAATTTCTATAATCAAACAACATATGGAATTCAATACAACTGCTTGTTAACTAATATCAAAATCCGAATCTTCAATACAAATGTCAAGATAGTTAATTCTAATCGTATGGTGTTGAAATTTAGAGAACTACTACAACGATCATCAAAATAGTACAAATATTTATAAACAGTGGTTTATGCAGGATACTCAATATCCGTTGACAGGAAACCATCAGCAACAGCCTAATGTTGTTGCTACTTTGACGTGGTGGTCGGACATGCCTATCGTGATGAACTAGTCGAGCTATACTGGCTGGAATAATCGTTCCTCAAGGTCCTACCATGTCAGACATGTCGTTTAAAGAGCGGTAAGACTCAAAGTAACAAACCCAAGGTCCGATGGCGAAGTCGTACTGCTGACTGTACAGAGATGCGACAGCAGTAAGGTGTTTCCTTCAGACAACCAGCATGACAGCGATGCTGCCTTCCCACAAGGAGGGGTGGGATTAGAAAAGGTCGACCCTAAAAATGCACACCTCGCCTTACCCAACAAATATCCGTCTCTGGAGGTAAGGTCTCAACAAGTAAGGAGCTGACACAAAAATTATCCATAAAAAGGTCGTGTGTGATCGACCGCAAGCAGTTGTACTTTGGGCACTGCGGTCATGTCCTGAGATCACTAAGACCACCTCGAATCCAATTTTCTTTACAGGTACCTCCAAAAGAACTGAGGAGTGATAACCACCCTCATACCTCTAGCAGCACTCAAGACCATTGTATTCATGATAAATTTCCCTCTTCAACTCCTATTATTCCTCCTACACTGACTTTCACCTCTAAACTTCTGAACTTCTTTAGAAAGCTAAACGTTCAGCCATAGTACTCGTAGCAGGTGACTTTAATGCCCAAGTAGGAAGCTTAAACCAAGCAAAGAGACAGTTAGGTGGGTATTTTAGTATACCAGCACAACGAACAAATAATGGTGATCATCTGCTGCAACTGTACTCAGACAATCATTTATTTTTAGCAAACACAAATTTTAAGCATAAGGAGTGATATCGTCTAACATGGCGACCCTCTGCATCAGACCAACAGTGCACTAAAATAGACCATATTGTCATCAGCCATCGTTGGAGAGGCTCGTTAGAAGACTGTCACTCGTTCTGGAGTACATGTTTAGACTCTGATCATGCTCTAATACGCGCACTCATTTGCTTGCGCCTCACTGGACACAGAAAAGGCACATTAAGAACACCCATTACAATTGAATTAAGTAATGTGAAAACCAAAAGTAGGTCCCAGGAACAACTGATGTCACACTTAGGTAGTTCTGAAAACGAGGCTGACCTAGATGTTGCTTGGAAAGATATACAAACAGCTGTGGAAACAGCAGTGACATTTATCAGTGATTTAAACCACAAGGTTACAAAGAACCAATGGATTTCTTCAAGGTCTATTGCACTGATGGATTCTCGTAAACTCATCCCATCAGGCTCTGAACACGATGAAAAGCGTAAAGAAATCAGATCTAGGTCAAGCAAAAGTCTAAGGAACGACCGTGAGCAGTGGTGGGCAACGAAAGCAAAAGAGATGGAAAAGATGGCGGCTGTAGATAACACAAGATAGCTCTACTGACTAATAAAAGAAACTGGAATTAATAAGTTAAGTGTAAGTGAGACTATTTCGGAAAGAGAAGACACTCTTATCTGCTCCTAGTCCAGACGTTTAGAACGATGGGCGGAACACTTAAAGGAGTAATTAAGTAAGTAAGTACGGTAATAATCAGCTGAGAGAATTGTGTCATTTTATCATATAATAAGAACTTTTATCTGATCTTTGACTTATTACCAAGTCTATAATGTTTTAAATTAATTTCTGCATAAATTCACTCAGTGTTGTTTATGTGTATCTTCCTATTGTTATTTAGCACTGAAATTGATCAGTCTCTTGTTGGCATATGTGCATCCTGTGAGAACTGCCTCGATCTAGTCTTACTTCACAAGCTTTATAGAAGCAAAGATGAATAGTTGCTATCCAGGAATCGTGTTTTGTCCTATTTAGGACTGGTCATCTTCAAGTACTTACATCTGAGTTGATGTTCATTCTGGGACTCGAACCCAGTATCGTTCGCTTCAAATGAACAGCACGATAGCGTTTGGAGCGAGTCATTTGTACTATTTTGAATATTATGTTTGACAAATGTAAATCAGTGTACATATAGGCTATTGTTACATTTGAACTACTGATAGTATTCAGTCTTCAATTCTATTACTACATTGTAAAAACAAAAAAAAATAATGAGTTAGTTAGTGATCTGACTGGATGGTAGTTTGTGTTACTGGTAGTTTCCACTATTTGGTTTGAATTCTGTAAATGTGTTTATGATCCATAGTTTAAATCTAAAAGATTATCTACTTCCAATAAGCTGTAGTCGTATCAGTACATTTAATTTCTTACGCCTGTTACCCCTCGTGGAGTAGTATAGGCCGCCTATAGCTTTTCTAGGGCTACTGTTGATTCCAACCCCGGGGTAAAAAAGAAAAGACAACCTTGCTTAATAACAATAACCAGAATAAACAAGTTGAATCATTTAAAATCTGTCCTCTGAGTTGAAGGAAGAAGTATGAAGCCTCATAGTGAAAGCCTATATTCTTCGAAAGTCACTAGGTCGATGCCACTTCTAACAATCAAAGCAACAATTAATATAAATATATGGATCATATCAATATAATATGCAATAAAATGTATTGACCTGTTTATTGGAAACACTGAATTCCGGCCACTGCATTCTAGATTCTTCAAAGAGTCCAGTTGGAATAGTTTGATATTATTATTAACATTATCATACAGATGCATACAAATGTATAGTGTAATTTGAGTCTTACTTACTGACTTACACCTGTTACCCACAATGGAGCATAGGCTGCCGACAACCAATCTACAATCCATTCTATCCTCGGCCTCCCTATTCTAGTTCTATACAATTCTTGTTCATTCTTCTCATGTCTGTCTACATTTCTCGGTGTAATGTGTTCTTTGGTTTTCCTGTTTTCCTTTGGCCTTAAGGATTCCAATTGAAGACTTACCTTGTGACACATTTGGATGCTTTTCTCAATGTGTGTCCTATTCATCAATGATTAAGTCATAATTGTTATTATGATAAAGTTGTTTGAAACTATTAAATTTTCAGGCTTAATTGGTAACTGATTTCAGTTTGAAAAAGAAAAAAACACATTAGTAACTAAATGAGAATAGAAAACTATTTTTTTTTGTAGTATAATACTATTCCATAGTAAATACTCAGTACCTGGAAACGGGTACTAGGTAAGGATCGCAAATCAATTGATGAAGTAGTGAAACTTCATCAGTTGCGATGGCTGGGACACGTGTTACATATGCCCAACCACCAACTGCCTCGACGTGCGATGTTCAATGGTATAGGAGGAGGTTGGAAGAAAGGTAGGGTCGGCCAGACCAAAACATGGCACAAATCCATAAAGTCACTGACAAGTGGACTGAGTCATGTTGGTAGGTGTAGACTACCTGATTGGGGACCGCGAGATGATAGCAACCGATGGTTAGAGACCCTGAATGATATGGCTCAAAATCGTTTGCAATGGCGCAGGTGCATCCACTCTCTGTGTTCTCCCAAATTCTAATCTTCTGAACTCTCCTTATCTCTTTTTTCTCTTTCCAAATTTATTTCACTGGATTATACTCATTGAATAACATCTTCTAACCCTAATGTTTCCGATTACTGCTTATACTTTTACTACCTCTATCACTACGGGATTTGAATCGAAAACTGCATCTCTGTGCTAAGTTGGTATGGCAACTCGAACTGATGTACGTACGCACGAAGTTGTACTTTGTTACTGACTGACTGACTGACTGATTCAGTAAATTAAATCTTATCGGATTTGACATTTGATACCTTGTATGTGTAAATTTAATCAATATTCCACAGTCCTGTTGATTTTTAAAGGTTCTTTTACTAGACTTAGTGTATTATACCACCAATAGTAATAATAATAATAATAAAAGTTGTTTTGAAATTGAGCAATCAGCAAATTAACACACGCACCCACCCACTCGCACATACACACACATACACATACACATAATTTCTCACAGCAATAAGTAACCATAGTCTCAGGAAGGAACAAATCTAGTACATTAAAGCATGATCAAATATGACATTCAATACTTTGTATATGTAAATTGAATCAATATTCAATAGTCTCCTATTCAAAGTCTGTTGACTTTTTTTTTGTTTTTGTTTTGAAGGTTCCTTTAAGTAGACTTTGTCTACCAATCATAATATGAATTGTATGGAAATTGAGAGAAATCAGCACACCCACACACACACACACATACACACACATACACATATACACACTTGTGTATACAAAGATGATTTTCATTGTGTACATTTATATATTTATGTATATTTAATATTGACAACATGTATTTACATAGATACAAATGGTATTGTACATGGTGTAATCAACAAAGGTACTATCATTAATTATCCAGGTAATGAAAAGATAATACATTAAAATGATAGATAGGCATATAAACGAATGAACTATGAATATATAGATGTACATTTAATGTTCTTCTTATTGTTCAACTATTTCATATACAGAATAAACAAACTAACAATGTTTAGTAAAAGAAAAAGAATGATGTAATTCACGTGTTTTCATCATAATCTATTGAACTTACTAATTAGATTGTCATGTTACTTTATAAATGAAACACAAGACTATTGTCATCATCATCATCATCGTCATCATCATCATTATCGTCATCATCACCATGATTGTCATCATGATCATGATCATCATTGGAAATTATTTCTTTCATATATATTTTTCATCTAGTTTTGACTGGATACTTTACTTTCAACTACACACTCTCACACACACACACACACAGTTGCACACACACACATACAGATTGGTGCACATGTACTCACAATAGCCCATTTAAAGAAGCTTTCTACATATCATTCATTCATTCATTCATTGATTCATTCAACCATCCATTTGTCGATTCACTTCGCTTAATTTATTTCTATCAGAATGAAATGGAATCTTTTTCATAAGAAACATTATACTACTGATAAACAGTATTCATCCACTAATACACGTACAATATATGCTCATCATTATAAAAATTTCAATGGTGAATTATATCATCATAATTATTGTAATAATCATATTCATTCAACACATTATAAATGGTATAATTTTTTTTATAAAAATTTATATGAACAATTTCATAATATAGCAAATATTTATTTTTTATTAATTATTATTACATATTTTTTTGTGGATGATAGTGGAAATGCCTCAGTTACTATTATCCCATTAATTGTTATTCTTAGTATTACAATGATTAAAGATGGTTTAGATGATTTATTACGTTATCATTTTGATCAACAATTAAATTCCATTGAATATTATGTATTAACAATTGATTTTCATCGAAAATCAATAAAATGGATTTTAAAAAAATCTTCTTTATTATTAGTTGGTGATGTCATTTATTGTCAAAATAATCAATCATTTCCATGTGATTTATTATTATTATATTCATCTAATAATAATGGACAAGTTAATATTACGACAATGAATTTAGATGGTGAAACATCTATTAAACAATATTATTCATTAATTGAATATCAATCAATTTATTCACAATATTCAAATAATCATTTAATTCAAACACATTTAAAACAATTCAATTTTCAATTGATCATTGAACAATTATATTTACATGTAATATGTCAACAACCCAATGAGAATTTGATGACCTTTCAAGGTCATTATGAAACCGCTCAACATTTAAATCATCATCATGATAATGTTGGTGGTGGTGGTGGTGGTGATGAGGGTGAAGGTGAAGGTGGTAGTGGAAGATATTTACCATTAAATAGGAAAAATTTAGTATTACGTGGATCGAAATTAATATCTACAGATTATATTATTGGTTTAGTTATTTATACTGGTCAAGATACAAAATTATCATTAAATAGTAAAAATTCACAAAGAAAATATAGTACACGTGAAAGATTATCTAATATAATTTTATTAATGTTTATGGTTGCCATGGTAACTATCACTTTAATTGTTACTATCATATCAACTATATGGATAAAACAAAATATTCATAAAATATGGTATATTACATTTGAATTATTAACAATATGGCAATTTATTCGTAGTATATTTCGTTATTTATTTATTATTAATTATTTAATACCAATATCAATTATAGTCACTACAGAATTTCAACAATTACTATTAGCTTATTTTATATCGAATGATATAACTATGTATAATTCAATAGAGAATATAAAAAGTCATGCAAATAATTCACAATTATCCGATGAATTAGGTCAAATTGAATTTTTATTTTGTGATAAAACTGGAACATTAACACAAAATTTAATGAAATTACAATCATGTTGTTTATTATCTAATGAACAATTATATCAATTTTATAAGGATCAAGATCAAGATCAAGATGATGATGATGATCATCATCAGAATACTACTGAATTAACTACTTATAATGCGTTGAATTCATCTTTGAAATTATTAGAGATGAATGAAAAGTTTCGTGAATTTTTAACTATCATATCATTATGTCATACTGTTGAATTAAAAAATCATACTCAAATGGTTAGTACTAATAATACACAACAATCACCAATGAATACTGATGAACCATGTAGATTTTATGAATATGAAGTAAGTCTAAGATAAATTAGATATTATATGTCATATTCGATTTGTATGTCGGCTACAATAATGATCGGGTGTTCAAAGTGAATCAGATGGTTTAGTTAGTGGGCCACATCCGGAATCTTCGACTACAAAGTAGTGGAGTAATGTTAAGAGAGAGATGAAGTTCCATGATAGTCGGTAACTGTTATAACTTGTGGCTTGTGTGTCCTGTTCATGTATAATGTGATGATACCGCCAATTAGAGGGCAGTGAATTATCAATCGAACCAGTAACACATAAAACACGTGTGAGCAGCTTAGAGTCCTGATTGGTCCTGCTTTCCGCTTAGCCCAGCCAGTTAAGTCCAAAACACCAATCTCAGCCTCTGCGATATGAATCATGTATTTCGAGCATACTGAGTTTATATACCAATCAAACAGACCACAACATACCAATAAAATAAGAAACAACATTTGTACAAGATTTAGTCAAAAGTGGCTGTGAATATGGGAGATAGTAATTGATAGACAGGGCATAATTCAAGAATAGTAAGTCGTATAATGATAGTTCATAGGTCAAAATAAAGTTTATAATAAGAGGGACATGAATATGAACAGCTTAGTTACATAACAATTATACGATAACAATATATGCATAGTATTGGTCCATAAATGGAACCCAAAAATTACCATTCATTCACAGTAACTAATAATAGGTCTATACACCATATGTTCCTTCAGTATCCAGAAGCTAATTTTCTCATTCTCTTGGAGTCACATTTTCATCTTGTTAATTATTTGCTTATTAATTTTGGCTAGTTCTATATGAGCATATATATATGTGTATACTTGCTATCCTATTCATCACATTCTCTGTAACTTATTTTTATCTGGTTATAAATATTGATTAACCGCTTGATGAAATCGAGTTGGCCAGCATGCTTTCGCCACTGTGTGCCATTTCGTTTTGTTTCTCTTTCTCTTCTTTGCTTCATTCTTTGCGATTCTCTAATTGTTTCTTTCAATCAACAATTATAGAAAGTAGACGTATTCGAAAACCCATTCCGTTCTAGGCTAATTCGAGTGAAGTCAATGATTATATAAGAGGATTGACGTTATGCATATTTCAATATAGATCAACATACAATCTAATTGAAGTCAGACTTCGGGGCCACTATCATAGCAAATATTGAGTGTTTACATTCAAATTACCAATATTATTAAGCTGTAAACTACTTAAATAATTATTTATAACCCATTTGTATGAAGTGAATATTTCACTTTTCAATTGAGATTATCATCGAATAACAACTGCTACTGAAAAAGAATATTGTGTCATTATTGTGTCAATATAATAAGACTTGTATTTCCCAATTTACTCTATAGAAGATCTTTATGAATAGAAATTAATAAAAAAACATTTGGAAGCATTGAACGGCCGTTTCCTTCTAGTATGAGACTGCCCTGCTCTCGAGGTTCGAACCCAGGATCTTCTGTCTCGTTCGCGTACGCTTCAACTCCAGACCACTGAGCCGAAATTCAACAATTTTAATGTCTGATTTCAATCGATATACGAAATTATGCCACTGTCTACCACTGTCTTCAGTGAGTTACTGCCTCAGAACAAGATCGTGGATATGCACTGCTGAGGAATACCATAATAGGACGAAACGGCCGTCCAGTGATTCCAGGTTTTCCATGGTGATGTAGTTTTAATTGACTCATTAATACAGCTTTTAAATTCCTACAATCCCCACAAAACCTTCTTTCTGAAAAGAAATAAGCTTTTGCAATTATCCAGTAGTTCGAAATGTAAACTAGTGAAATGCAACTTTGATCTAAATGTTAAGAGCTCATTATTAACCTTCAATGTTCTGGAACTGACCGTCTGATGGAGTAGTCAGTTGACATTGTTAAACAGTCCCAAACTAATATGAAACAGCTTTCTGGTACTTTTTGTTTTACAATTAATGTCAAACAATTATGCACACAGTATGAAGTTACTCAGATAAGTAGCTATTTTTCACCTTAGTTGATAGAATTCGGCTATCCATGAGAAAAAGATCTACACAAGGTTGGTTAGTACTCGATGAATGCATTTGGTTAAAATCACCTTCATATTAACATATTTTATAATCTATCATCCTATCAATCAAATTAATACACAAGAATTGTTTGATTATTTCAGTTATAATGTAGTGTATGCTACTGATGTTGACAGATATAAGTAGTATGTATCGTCAATCGAAAGTGAAATGTCAGGCAGTATAAGGTTAAGAAAACGAGAACAGTGAATGATTTGCGTGGAAGCGAAAGAACAATGAAGTCTGAGACGATTGATTGACATTTTGCAAATGAAGTAATTACTGTATGGTTCTGAGATCTTACTAAGTGATTCTGTAATTTAATACTCAAATGCATTCGGTTGTCCTAACTGGTACTCTCGTTCACTATTCACATAAGACTAAAACTTTGTGTACTCTTACCGACCGTTGGGTGCCTGCTCAGCGGTCTAGAGGTTAAGTGCTCGCGTGCAAAACTGCCAAGTACTGGGTTCGAATCCCGTAAGTGGGCTTATGGATGATCACTGCTGAGGAGTCCCACAATAGGACGAAACGGCCGTCCAATGCTTCCAGGTTTTCCATCATGGTCTAGCTTTAATCAACTCATCAATTCAACTATTAGATTACTATAATATCCATAAAATCACTCTCTTCTTTATCTTTTTTTCAATTTTAAGGCAACATCACCTGATGAGAAAGCATTAGTTGAAGGTGCTTCAAAACTTGGTGTTGTATTTTCAGGCAAAGAACTTGATTTCAATGAGACTGGTTCATATAAATTGTATATTGATTATTGGTCATATTCATCAACAACAATAAAAGAGTCAAATAATGAAAAGTTTATTAATCGTCAATGTTATATTGTTGATGCCGTATTGGAATTTGATCCAACACGTAAACGTATGAGTGTTATGGTACGTTATCCTAATGGAACATGTTGTGTATTGAGTAAAGGAGCAGAAACTGCAATTTTAGATCCTGAGGTAATTTCACTTCATCTTTGATCTATTTTTCTAGTATGTTAATAGTTTTATAGTGAAGTAACATCACTTAAAGCGATATTATGAAGATATGTTAAGTCCTGAACAGTGGTTTCGGTTTTATACGACATTCCAATAGTAGAGTTGGAACCTACCACCATCTTCAAGACCGTTAAAAGTACATTTAGATATCTGCTAACTCTTAAATAAAAGTACTCATTACTTATATGTGATTAGTACTATAGTTGTGAATATGTATGTTACCTTACTTAACGGTTGACATTTAAGAGAATGTATCATAATCTTAGCTGAATTCAATAATGTAATGACTTATGATAATTACCACTTTTCAACCAATGTATTAATACTATATGATAATAAGGTATCTCTTTAAAGATCATACGTTCATCTTTTGTAAACTTTGAAAGGCTATAATGTCGGAATAGGAATCTTCACAGTTACTGAATGAATCTTATTGAAACTCTGAACAATAGTACCTACTTATTTCCGTTCTGATAACTAAGTACTATGTCTATATGTTATATTTATCATAAATTGATCTTAGTTCAAGTATCTTTGAGAACCAAGAATCAATGAACAACTGTTCAGTCCGGTTATGAGAATCAAGACCGTGCATCGACAATCCTACTAGAGAACAACCCCAGGTTCTTGAAGTATCATAATAAATGCATAGCCATTAGAACCAATGATTTACTCTTCAGCAGAGTTAGATAGTGGCTCAAAATGGAGTTCAAGATGCACGTTTTTATCCTGTTTTAGACCCATTGTCTGGATGTATCTACACACATGTTGAAGTTACCACTGGGACTTGGACTCAGTAGCTTCTGCTTTAAATACCGAAGCGTTATATACAGCGTTACTACGTCCAGAGAAGCAGAGATGTGTGTAACGGGTTGAATTCCAAATTCACGCAAAATGTCCGTTTAAATCTTCTTTCTGTTGATGTTAAGGACTACAATCGATCAGCCTCTTTTAGGATATACGGATTTTGTTCTGATTTATTCAAGATAAACAAGATTCATACATTTCAATAGATATTGACCAATTGCAGACCTTAACAAAAACAAACAGAAGATTCAAATGACTTTCACCGGTACCATTATTTGTTTACAAATTCTTAGAAGTAAAATTCATTGCATTACTGATCTAGTAACCTTAGCACTCGGTAGAATACCATCAAGATTTTATATCAACCCCCAAATGCTCTCACATAGCCACGTACACATAACCACTGCCAGAAAAGTCCTACTCACTGCATTCTCGCGGCATTAATGTTGCTTACAAATTGAAAGGACGAAAAGCGGATGTCCGTCAATTTAACCAGATTGGTGGATACGGGGGATCTACCTAAGTGAGTTGGGATACTGTGGTTCCAAACCAGTGGTGCACAAGGGTTCCAAGATCTTGAGGGAACGAATGGTGTATGAACATATTGTTGGTTACCGACCACCATAGAAATGCATCTCCTCACGCTTCTCTACTGCAATATGGATCAGACCTTTAGATCGAAGGCTATGGATGTGGCCCCCTAAGAAAACTACCTGATTCGGTCTGAGAACCCGGGCAGTTCGGCAGCCCTCACATAAATTGAATGATTTATGTGGCACATATGTATTCACTGCCCCTTTGTACCAATATTTATGTGTTCCAATAAATAAATAAACATCAGCTTCAGAAGAATAATTGACAACCAACAACATGGATCACCTGTTTTAGCTACGACAATGAGTGTTCACGAATCATTCACTCAAACGTACATACATTCTTGATATTCATGTGTCATAATATTGGGGATGCTAGATCTCCAGAAATCATTTGGTAAATGTCATATTTTTGTAATTTTATTTTGGAAATTTGAATTTCTTGTCTTTGCTTCTAAAGCTTCTATTTTCATCTTCATGTCGTATTTCCTATTTGTGAGGACCTTAAATGGCATTGGTTCGTTGTCTCTTTTAATATGCTATTTTTTAACGTTTCCCAAGGACATTTTTATGCTGTATATATACGTTTGAAGTTTGCTTGTCGTTGTTTGTACTTACGGCTGCTCGTGGAATACATTTCCGTCTTCTGAACCTGAACTTCTTTTCCTAATTTGCGTGGCCGGGACGCATTGAAATAGTTAGCTTGTTTAGACATTATGTCACTCAGTCTTTGTTCCATTCGTAGATTAAGTGAACTCGTAATCTCTTGAAACATAGCATATACCAAATAAGATATCATGAAAAACAATTTATCAGTGACAGAGTATGATCTTTATCTTTCTGCTTAATAAACCTTTTACATATCTGGTCAGCATCATTGATGAACACGGTGGATCTGATGCATATGTAAAGGCGCGAAATGACATAGCAAAAGTAGCATATCTAAAATTAAAGAAGATATGGAACTCAAAACAACTGTCTGTCAACCAACATCAAAGTTAGAATTTTCAGTACAAATGTCAAGACAGTTCTATTGTATGCTGCGGAAATCTGGAGAACTATGAAAGCCATCATCCAGAAGATACAGGTGTTTATTAACAGTTGTCTATGCAAAATACTTTGGATTCGTTGGTCAGACACTATCAGCAACGACCAGCTGTGGGAAAGAACCAGATTTCAGAGGAGAAAAAAATCAGGAAGAAGCACTGGAAGCGGATAGAACACACATTGCGGAAAGCATCCAACTGAGTCACAAGACAAGCCTTCACACGAAATCCTCAAGGTCAAAGGAGAAGAGGAAGACCAAAGAACACATTGGACCGAGAAATGTAGACATACATGAGAAGAATGAACAAGAATTGTATAGAACTAGAAAGGAAGGCCGAGGACAGAATGGATTGTAGAATGGTTGTTGGCGGCCTATGCTCCATTGTGGGTAACCGGCGTAAGTTACTTACATCCATAAATCATACATTATCTATCTAATAAGGAAATTTCTCTTCTTTTTTTTCCTTTATTTATTAAAGAGATGCAGTACTACATCTGGTTATCTACGTTCACGTGCTATTCATTATGTTAATGAATATGCAATTCACGGTTTACGTACACTTGTATTTGCTAAACGTAGATTACATAAATCTATTTATATGAAATTATTAGAACAGTTCAAATATGCCTCTAGTCTATGCGATAATGAACGTATTCATGCATTAAAACAATGTTATAATGAAATTGAATATGATATGATACCAATATATGTTACTGGTATAGAAGATAAATTACAACCTGGTGTAAAAAATTGTATAAAAGCTTTAAAAGAAGCTGGAATACAAGTAAGTTTAGTATAAATATAATGAGTATCTTTCACTGATTGAAATCATGAGTCAACTGAAGGTAGACCACCATGGAAAACCTGGAAGCACTGGACGGCCGGTTCGTCCTACTGTGGGACTCCCCAGCAGTGTGCATCCACAATCCCACACCCCGCGAGACTCGAACCCAGGATCTATCAGTCTCGCACCAGGTGTTTAACCAACTAGACCATTGAGCCGGCGTCCAACGGTGTTAATGTTTAACTTCAACCAGTCCCATACTAGGACGAAACGTCCGTCCAGTGCTTCCAGGTTTTCCATGTCGGCCTAGCTTCAATTGACTCATTATTTCAATCATTGAAATTTCTAAGATCTCCACAAAGCACCTTCTGATAATAATGAATATCATTAAGAAATGTTTGTTGCTATGCCGATTATTGATCATTCACAATTAAACTTAATCTTACCTCATCAGATTAGTTACTTTCAGATTGTAACAATATATTAAACATAGATGTAGTCAAAATGGTTAACAGTTTCATCTTAACCCATTTAATTCAGACGAGATGATACAACCAATATAGAGCAAACTTTCGCAATAATATAGCATTTGAACAACAGTCTATGTAATTCTGTCAGACTGAGAATTTTGCAGACATAGAAAGAGGTGGTTAGTCTAGGCAATTTATCTTCCAACCTTGGAGTGATTATTGGACCTGTGGAAAACACTAGTTGTAGTTTATCTGAATTAAAATTCCTTTGAATTGATCTACTTTACTTTAGCCTTAACATTTCATTCGATGCATAGCCTCTGAATTGTAAGCGTATATACAGAGGCTTTTTATTCACGGGTAAACATTCTCTATGCCCTCTTTTATTGGCTATGTTGTTATTTATAAATTTCTCGGGTTATCCATTTTCTTTCAGGGGTTGTGTATAATGCCTTTGTTTCATCTTTCACCGTATCTAGAGAGCATATAGTCTTGATTCTATGATGCAGTGTCATAATAAGGTTCCTTTTATATTGTAGAGGAACAATACAAAGAAAGTTTTTATATTGGCCCGTCCGATTCGTTTTCTTGTTTATGTTTCTTTTTAGTGACCCGTCTTATCTCCCTGTCTAAAGAACATCTAGAAAGGCTATTCTACCTATATTTTCGTTCTCACATGTGAATTTTATGGACATGTGAACTGTATTGAAACGCTAGAGTGTTTCTGTGAAGTCCGTATAGTTGTTACAAAGGATAAATATATCATCTATATATCGGCAGTAAAATGAAAAACTGCCGATCTCTTGTGCCAGTGGGTCGTTTTCTAGTTCAGAGAGGAAAATGTCAGCTAATATGGGACCTAGGGGTGAACCCATCACAACACCATCAATATGTCTATAGATTTCAGCATTGCATTTGAAATGTACATTCATAGTACATTTTAGTAATAATTGTCGTTTCTAGTTCATGTTCTCTAAGTTGTTCACAAATATATTCTACAGTTTCTCTGAGCGAAACATTTGTGTACAATGACGTTACTTCAAAGGACACCATTGTTTGACTTTTCGTTTTTATGTTTTTGATCTTGTCAACGAATTGGAATACATCCTTAATACTATGCTTCACTAGGTATTTGTGGAGTGGTTTCAAAACGGTTACTAACCACTTTGCTACAATATGATATGGGGAATCATACATGTCCAAAATTGGTCTTAATGGAATATCCGGTTTATGTACCTTCGACAGTCCATGTAACCTAGGTAAATGTGTACCTATCGGCTTAATTGTTTCGTATATGCTTGATGGAATCATCTGTTGATCTCTGAGCTTTTTTAAAGTTCTGGTCAATTCATTCTCTATCTTATTATTGATATCTTTTTGGTTATTCAGTTTCTGAAGTTTTTGGTGATCATTCAAGATGTTATTCATCTTGTCAATGTAGTCTATTTTGTTAAGTGGGACAGTTCCTGTTCCATTATCAGGTTTTATGGAAATCAGAGTTTCGTCATTAATGAGTTCATTGATGGCCTCTTTGTGTTTTTTTTAGTTAATATACTTCTGTAGTTATATCTACTATTGTTAAACTGATAGTAGTAGTCAATTAGGTTTGATTTCAAACGTTCAAGTTCTTGGTGAAAGGTCGGGACTAGATCTTGCAGACGGCTGAAGCAATTACTATTCGGATAGAAAAGCGAGACCTTTGAATCTTAAAGAAATATGTTCAGCTGCTCCTTTTACCTTAGCCAGTTTCGGGGCCAACTAGTTACTAATCAATTTTATAATATGACGATGTAATTTGATTATTGTTCATTTTTATGTTTTTGATGGAGTTTTATTCTTTAAGCTGGATGGTTTAGTCATGGAGCTTTCATCGTTCTTCTGAACGACATCATCAGTACAGACTTCAAGTAGAAGTGAAGTATTCGAATTTCTCCATTTGTGGTTTTAAGATTGTCCTGTACACCTTGATGTTGATTGGTTCTTGTCGACTTTAAACCTGTTATTATTTACTTCTTTGTTTCGGTTGTATCCCCCAATGGGAGATTATTATTAAACTTGATAACCTTTCTGAGAAGCTTATTTAGCATCCACCCCTATCTACTATATCTGACCTCATTCATATTATTTTACATATTATGTAATTTCTGATTTGTAGTTCCATTATCCTCTCCCTCTGTCACTCACTCCATGTTGACCATATTTATTCTGATCATTATTTATCTCACAATTTCATTTCACTTATAAACTGATTCAAGTCAACAATTTCATAATATCAGAATGGGTTTAATGGAGAATTTAGTAACTTCAATAATTGAAATCATAAGTCAATTGAAGCTAGACAACCATGGAAAACCTGGATGCACTGTATAGTTGTTTCATCGTAATATGGGACTTTTCAACAGTACATCTCTATGATTTCGTATAAGGGACTTGTACTCAAGATCTTCAGTCTCGCATGTGAACACTTAATCTCTAATCTCATACTAAGACATAACAACTATTCAGTACACTTGGTATCGTTTGGCTTATATTTTCCCATTGAGGTTTAAGACTGCAACTGATCAATCTGTTATTGGCATATGTGCATATTGTGTGTATGTCTTGATAGTGCCTTCATTCACAAGCTTTTTGTAAGCAATGATGGATAACGCGATGGCGTTTGAAGGCAATGATACTGGGTTCGAGTCCCAGAATGAACATCAATTCTGAGATGCAAGTACATCTGGCTGACGAGTCCGAAATAGGATGAAACGCATGTCCTGGATTCCACTAGTTCTAGGTTTTCAATAGTGATCTAGTTTAAATCTTCACAAAACTCTTTCAACATCTAACTCTTTTTTTTATTATTTCTCTAGATATGGATATTAACCGGTGATAAAGCTGAAACAGCAATTACAGTAAGTCAATCTATTGGACATTTTACATCGAATATGTCATTAATAAGAATAATGAATTGTCAAACATTACAATCAACAGCATATAAAATTTATGAACAATTAGATGCATTATATTCATATCATAATGATCATAAACAAAAACCTAATCATCATTCTATATTAACAATGTCAAGAATTAAAACAATAAATTATAATAGAAATTCATTTCATATATCCTCCCCCTCTTCCTCCTCCTCCTCCTCCTCATCATCATCATCATCATCATCATCATCCTCATCATCATCATCATCATCATCATCCACTTCAAGACCATCTTCATGTATGGATCGATCATACAATAATAATACTAATAGTAATAGTAATAATAATGATGTTTATTATTATGGTTCAAATGAATTCATTTTCAATAAGAAAGGTTGTATAACTAGTCGATATATAAGACGAAAGCATAAAAAGCATCCTGGTATGGCAAATGAATCAATTGGTCTTGTTATTGATGGAAAAAGTTTACAATATGCATTACATGTAAGTAATTTGTTTGCTGGTTTCGTTTGAATGATATTTTTCTACTTACTCTTATTTAGTTGTTTGTTTATTTGAATATAGAAAGATTGGTAGAATGGAGGCACAGAATGCATATGCACTACACAAGTCACTTCATATTGTGATATCGTCACTGTGATAGTGTTCAGGTGATCAGACCGAAAAAGGTGGTTATCTTAGGGGGTCACACCTGGAGCCTTCAACCCAAAGGTCTGGATCCACAAGGCAGTGATGAAACATCGTAAGGAGATACAGTCCCATGGTAGCCGATGACCAACAATTGGTTCATATACCAGTTGTTCAATCAGGATCTTGGAGCCTATGTGGACTAATGGTTTGGAATTAAGGTTTTCCAACTTGTCTAGGTAGGCCCTTTGTATGTATTAATCCAGTTAATGCATCGGAAATTCACTTTTGATCCTCTCAATTTCGTTAACAACAGTAATGCTGCGAGAATGCAGTGAGTAGAACTTCCATGACAGTAGCTATATACGCGTGGCTATGTGAGAGCATTTGCAGTGGTAGAGAGAATTCTCCCTACAATCGACTGTACTAAGGATTTTGGGGGTTTCTGAGTAATTGAACAGGAATATTTGTTTAAACTCATTCTTCACTAAAGATTTTTATTAACTGAAGGTTCATTGACAATTAGAAAATATAAGGCAGATATACATATCCATTACCACTGCACCGAAAATCTATTTATGTTTCCCATTGTTCTTGTGCATATATAACAATCTCTCTTTATTAGGTATTCGAATAACTCTTCTTCATTGTACTACGAGTTGGAATTTATTCATACATCAACTTATCATTGATAATTACTTGATTACAGTTGACTTTATTATGTATGTCACTTTTCTCCCGATCGAAGCTGCTACCTTGACGCGGTGGTCGGGCTTGCCTATCGTGATGACCCAACCGAGCTATATTGGCTGGAACATATGTTCCTGCAGGTTACGTATGCCCAACGACCGACTGCCTCGACGTGCTATGTTCAGTGGTATAGGAGTAGGTTGGAAGAAAGCTAGGGGCGGCCAAACCAAAATATGGCACAAGTCCATGAAGTCACTGACAAGTGAACTGAGTCATGTTGGTAGGTGTAGACTACCTGGTTGGGGACCGCGAGATGACAGCAACCGATGGTTACAGGCCTTGAATGACATAGCTCAAAATCGTTTGCAATGGCGCAGGTGCATCCACTCTCTGTGTTCTCCCAAACTCTAATCTTCTGAATTCTTCATGTCCCTTTTTCCCTCTTTCCAAATTTATTTCACTGGATTATACTCCTTGAATAACATCTCCAAACCCTAATCTTCCCGATTACTGCTTATACTCTTGCTACCTCTATCACTACGGGATTTGAATCGACCACTGCATCTCTGTGCTAATGTGGTGTGGCAACTCGAACTGATGTACGTACGTACGAAGTTATACGTTGTTACTGACTGACTGACTGATGTCACTTTTTTATTCTTTACCTGGGAACTATTCGGAGGGACAGTTACTTCTGAAGTATTCAGTAATAAAAATTGTGACGCATATAAGAATTTAGTTCGAAATTGGATCGATAAAGCAAGGAGCAACAAACCGTAGATAATGTTAGTTGTAATAACCGCTTCAGAGCAAAGCTCCTTATAAGTTATTGTACGATCATAAGTTTATATTGTACAGAATTTCCAATTAGATGATGCACTTATTATCAGTATCATCTATAGGGAGTAATATTACATGAATGACTGAATGCAGAGAAAATTCAGCATGATAAGTCTATTTATTTGTTTATTTGAACACAGAAATATTGGTAAAAAGGGGCACAGAATATATATGCGCCACACAAGTCACTGGATTTGTGTGTGGGCCGTGGTACTAACTGGATGTCCAGATCGAAGCAGGTGGTTTCCTTATAGGGTCACACCTGGAGCCTTCGACCTAAAGGTTTGGATCTACAAGGCAGTGATGAAACATTAGGAGATACAGTCCCATGGTAGCCGATGACCAACAATAGGTTCATATGCCACTCGTTCCTTCAGGATCTTGGGGCCTATGTGTACCACTGGTTTGGAATCAGGGTTTTCCAACTCCCCTAGGTGGATCCTCCGTCTCCACTAGTCCGGTAAAATCGCTGGACATTCGCTTTTCGTCTTCTCAATTTCGTAAATAACTGTCTGGCCACAAGAAGGCAGTGAGTAGGAGTTCCCTGGCAGTGGCTGTATAATTTAAATAAACAATCATTATTATTATTATCATATTCATATTCATAAACTAATACACATATGTTATCTCATGGTCAACCAGTAAACAACTATTAATGTGAATAAACAAGAGTGTTTAACTCAATTTAACCATTCAAATGTTCATTATGCAGTTAATTTATCAACCGATTAATCACGACCTGTTTTAGTGTCAGTTTAAAACGAATAATGGAATGATCATTTTGTACTGCCTTCTTCAACCAACATACATTATAGCAAAGCACTACTTCACATCCTTCATTTGTGGTCATTTAATGTCTATAAGCATATATAACCGTATTCTTGAGTAATTCATTATCTTCTTAGTGCTGAATAATGTTATCTTAATTGAAATTCATCATTACACAACTTATAATCGGGATTGTTGTTTTAAATCTATCCTTTATGACACTGAAATCACTATCTAAAAGCTATTCGATTCATCTTTAAAGCATAATTGAACTCATTTCTAAATATTATGGTGTATGCTACTTATGTCTTCCGATATAAGTAGTATATCACACAAACCGGAAGTAGAAAACCTAGCAACACAAAGCGAGAAAGTTCAAGTTGAGAAAAAATAGTAATGAAAATAGAAAAAAATTATGAATTGGAAGGATCATACGGAATGTAACGACCGAACCGCCAATATTCAGTTTGAACGTAGAACTAACAAATCCATATTTTATTCGATTAGACCAGACTACTTTCTTCTGTATAGCGTACGAAACGTTTTTGAGTTACTCGTATTAAATTATATCAGAACACAAACTCTGTGCTCAATTTAAACGGTTCTACTTTAGAAAATAGAACAAATTATATCAGAAATGCAAACTACCTAAAACGGTCCGGCCTATCTTATACAATCAAAAGTTTAGCATGCTAAACAACAAAAGGAACAGTGAATACAAAAGAGTTCAGTACCTAGGAATCAATAAAAATATTCCCAGCAAGATGGGATCCGACATCTATCTGCAAGGATTCCAGCAATCTTCCCAAGCAGACAGTCAAAGGTTAACAATCACACACTGAACCACACCGTGACCTTCAGCTTAGTCAAACACGACCTTACTGTCAATAGTCCAACAACATGCAATAGAAAATTAGGTAACAAAAGGTAAGTCTTTAATCAAAATCACATAATAAAACCTCAGACGAGGAAGACTAAAGAACAAACGGTGTGGTTAAAAGAGATTTCAACAAAGGTTAAAATACACGACAGGGAAAAGAAATAAATAAATAAAAGTACTGTCCAACATAATGCTTTGGAGGGATTTTCAGCGTTTTTTTTCGTTACACGGAATATGAAGAACAATTGGTGGAAGATTTGCAAATGAAGCATTATATGCACGGTTCTCATAGTTTACAGAGATATTCCTGTAATTGTGCATGAATTAATAAATTGGTCTTTCCCAACTGAGTTCTCGTTCATTACAGTAGCACTACAAAGGTTTGATTTGATGATGCCAAATAAAGTAAACATTGAGTAAATTGTCTGTAACAATAAAAAACTTATAGTAATCGTAGGCCGATTATGCAACCATAGAAACCTAAAAGCACTAGACGGCCGTTTCGTCCTAGTATGGGACTTCTCAGCAATGGTCTAGCGGTTACGCGCTCGCGCGCAAGACTGATAGGTCGTGGGTTCGAATCTCGCCGGGGGTAGGGATCGTGGATGCACCCTGCTGAGGAGTCCCATACTAGGATGAAACGGCCGTCCAGTGCTTCCAGGTTTCCAACGGTGGTCTAGCTTCAACTGACTCATGATTTCAACTATTGAATTTACTAAAATCTCCACAAAATAATAATATATTTCTCAGGATTTTAAGAGAAGACTCCACAATGTGAACTTTAGCCAATTCTGTAAGGTTGTAGCACTTCAGTTTAGTTTATCTTAATGGATTTTACGGTCAGTGAACAGTCCTGATGCTTATATGTTAAGTGCAAGCTCAAGCCAACATTCACTAACTGGTTAATTTTTGAGAAATCCCTATTAGTGGTTTATTATAGAATTTTCTCTATTGAGTTTTATGTGAACCCTTGTGTTTTTACAAATGAGTCTGCTGTTGTCTACTTATCTTTGCTCTGATTTGAGAGAGTTCAATGTAGAACAATGACCATGAAATACTAGTCAATTGAGGATGTAACACAAACAATATGAAGTCTGTTACCTTGTCACTGTGAGCATCAAAAGGACGGCTGATTGAGGCCAGTGTTACAAGACCTTTAATGCAAATGGATTTTAACACATTAACTCCCTACATTTTAGAACTTACCACTAGCACTGATAATCTATAAGGGTCATGTGAGTTGTGCTGTTTTCCAGATTTTGATCTACTATAACTTCTCCCTTCCTTTGTGAGCAGGAAACATCACTGAAGATGCTTCTTGCCGGAAGGAAATACCTTACTGTTATCAAATTTCAGTTCAAATGATCGTAGGACTCCACCCTCGAGTTCTATCTTCCCACTCTTCAACTAACCTGTTTAGCACTAGAGGACCTCGGTGAACAAAAGTTTTCTGATCAGTATAAGTTGTTTAAGTAGTCACAAAGAGGAAGACCTGATCATCTTGTCAATAGAGCAGGTATAATCGAGATGACAACATCTACTATTCGAATGAATCGTCATACTTAATACTTATATTTAGTATGAATTCATTTCGTAAGTGACGTTTAATCCATACCTACTATGATTGAATACATTATTTGTTTCATAATCTTGATTTCTTTTGTTAGACCTCAGTACGTGATGCATTTCTAGAATTATGCATGAATGTTACAACAGTGTTATGTTGTCGTATGACACCACTACAAAAAGCATCTATTGTTAAATTAGTTCAAATTGGTTTGGCGAAACATACACGTTATGGTATGAAACCAGTTATAGCTGCAGTTGGTGATGGTGGTAATGATGTAGCTATGATTTTACAAGCTAATATTGGTGTCGGAGTCTATGGAAAAGAAGGTCGTGATGCAGTTAGAGCCGCGGATTATTCAGTGACACAGTTCAGGTGAGTAGTCCTACTAAAGCTTCTGTATAGTATTTAATGCTTAAATTAAAGAATTCTAATAATATTGGATACCAACTCAGAGAACCAAACGTTAATTTCCTACTGAGAGCTATTTAAGTCCTGGGTTCGATCTCTGGCAGAGTAATGGATGGTCTCTGATTAGGAGTTCCATACTAGGAAAAAAATGGATCTTCAGCAACCCTGATTTAATTTGTGATACCTCGAATTGACAATTGTATGGTTACATAGGTTTTCAACACTGTTTTATGGTCTCTGTGTATATGTGGCTTGTCCACCAACAACATATTTTCTTGATTTCCTCTTCAACTGAATACTAGTTTGTATTTTGTCACTGCAGGTTGTTACCAATGGTATCCGGTCAACAGACATTGTAAATCTTGCATAGACAATTGTTCATAAGTACCTTTACATTTTTGATGATATTTATGGTAGTAGATCTCCAAGTTTCAGCTCTGAACATTGTATTGACATAAGTTACAAACTATGGATGAAGATTTTTACATGAATCAAATTGTTTATTTTTGTACAGTTGTGGTGTGCTACTGATGGTGATAGATATAAGTAGTATGTATCATCAATTGAAAGTAAAATATCTGGAGGCAGAAGGTTAATAAGATTGGAGAAAAGAGAATGATTGGTTTTGAAACGAAAGAACAATAAAGTCTGAGACGATTGACTGACGTTATTCAAATGAAGTATTTACTGTATGGTTCTCAGATTTTACTAAGAGACTATATTCTGTGAGATAATTTGGAGATATCTTTGAAAAGCGTCGGAGGTATGATTAACTTGAGTTGATTTAAGGAAATATGGCACTTGATATTGAACACTAGTAAATTCAATTTCATCCACGAAATTGTGCGACCATCTACCAGTGTCTTCAATGAATAATTGCCTCACAACAGATATGATTGAACTCCACTAGATCGATTGAAGTTGGACATTAACACTTTTGGATGCCGGTTCAGTGGTCTAGAGGTTATGCATTCGCTCCCGAGATCGAAGGTTCTGGGCTCGGGTACCATGTGCAAGACCGTGGAAGCACACTGCTGAGTCCCATGCTAGAATAAGCGGCCGTCTAGTGCTCCCAGGTCTTCAATGGTGGTCTAATTTTGATTAGTTTATAATATCAACAAAATTTAACAGTCTCTACAACCTCAAGCTGAAAACTCATTAGCATTTTTACGGAAATTCGCAAGCTCCTATGCGCCTTGAATATGAAATCACTCTCTGCACAAGTGAGAGAGTAAACTAAATAGTGCAAAATTAACTAACAGTAATTTAGGTGATAAATTTTTCAAATGGACGCTTTAGTCGGTTCCTTAATCTCTTCTAATAACCCCAGACTGAATCTACATGACAACTTGAACGCGAAAGAGAAAACACAAAATCTGAAAGGAACACTTTACTCCAGCGTTAGTTTATTTATAGAAAATTGAGAGTATTTATAGCATTTAAGATGGTCTTGAAATTCTGGAAGATTCTAAAACCCTATTGAACATAATAGTAGGATATGTAGTTATCCAGTCAAAAATGTGGCAGATGATCTCACTTCTTAGATGTTTCTGAGAAACGTCTATTCAATACCGATCAGATGTAGAACCCCTCTGTGCTTTTTTTTCGAGGAATAATTCGGATCTCCCCCAACATGAGGAATACCAGATCGTATTACAATCGTTTATAGATCCATTGAAAGCTTACAATATAAAGAATCTGGCAGTAAATTTATCTCATTGTTATAAGATAAAAGTAGAGATAATAGCAAAAACCTTTAAATTAGTATCCAGAGTTAAACTTGATTTGATATTTCCCCCCCCCCTCCCTTAACAAAAACGATCACGATCTTCCAAATAAATTATTGCAACTGGAACTTGACTGGAACACTGAAAAAGCTTGTTTATTATTTATAAGATTATTGAGACCATTTAGAATAGGCGTAGAGCATTAATCAAATAAAATCACTTCTGTAAATCTTATGTAAAACTCCATCTGGAGCCTTTCTACGGTTATTGTAGGTTTCATGCAAGGATAAAGATAGAGATTTGAACTAAGGATTAGCACCGTCATGCCACAGGAAGTGACCTTGTTAAAAAGATGCTAAGATGAAAAAAATAATTTATTTTCACCATTTAAATTCTGCTCTGCGATTTCAAGGATCATTATCTAGAAGAATAATGATGGTTTGTGGTGAAAGCTCAGATTCGTTCTGTTTAAGATTCGTCAGCTGAATGTATCTGTATCTCAGAATTGTTGATGTTCATACTGGGACTCGAACCCAATACCTTTCGATTCAAGTGCCATAGCATTATCTACTTAGCTACTGAGTTTTAATAGTCACTGGCTTGTACAATGGGATGAAGTTTAAATTCATTTGGTATTGTTTACTTGATACTTCTCATTGATCCTTAAGATTGCAATTGATCAGTCTCTTATTGGTATATGTGCATATTATATGTATTGCCTCGATATCCCCTTAAGTCACAAGAATAGTAACCAAAGTAGGATAGTGGTTAACAGTGTAATCCAGTTTAACGCACGTTTCGTCCTAACTGGCACTCATCAGCTGGATGTACCTGTCATATCTCGGAGTTGATGTTCACTCTAGGACTTAAACTGAGTGAATATCATTGCATTATTCATCTATAGCTACTTCTTCCTGATAGTCACCTGCTTGTACAATGAGATGAAGTTTAACTTATATCTTCTTCTTATTGTTTAAGAGATTATTAAATTTCCATTCATATCATGAATAGATCAATATTAGACTACTATTGAACACTTAAAAGTATTGAATGTACTTGTCATAGAACCACTTGACAATGTATATACATGATCTATGAATCGTAGTAAGTGTTACTATCTATAGAAAGATAGAAACCCAGCCACACACCCCCCCCCATCACCCCCACCCCCACCCCCCATTTTATTTCATTCTCATTATTCTTTACTCTTCTTTTCTTTTTTCTCTTTTCTTTTTTTTTTATAGACATATTCAACGATTATTTTTGTTACATGGACATTGGTCATATTATCGTATTACAATAACCATGTTATTTTTTTATCATAAATCTGTAGCATTTGTAACTAATCAATTATGTTTAATTTATTTTAATGGTTATTCAGATATTCCATTATTTGGTACCATTTTATTTATTTGTTATAATTTAACAATGACATTTTTAGTTAGTTTAGGTTATGGAATGTTTGAACGTCATATTCAAGAAAAGATTCTATTGAATAAACCATATTTATATAAAGAAGTAAGTAAATGATACGTTTTCTTTTATATATATATATAGATGTATCATAAGATCATTTATAAAGTATAGAGATTGTGAAGATCATCAACTGATTAATGTTAGACTAATTGTTAGAAACCTGAAAGTATTGAATGGCCGTTTCGTCCTATTGTGGGACTCCTCAGCAATGTGTATCCATGATCTCACTTTGCGAGATTCGAACTCAGGAGCTATTAGTTTCGCACGCGCGAACGATTAACCTACTGGACCATTGAGTCGGCATTCAATAGTGTTAGTGTTTAACATCAAGTAATCCATGAAATTGCGCGATCATAATTTATTAGATAAAGGGATTCGAACTTAAGAACTTCAATCTTGTATACAAATCTTTAATTATTAAAGCATTGAACCAATTGGTATAGAATAGTGTTGATGGGATTCTTTAGAAGTAAGCATCTATGATCCCGCTTTATAGGGTTCTAACTTAGGATCTATTAGTCTCACATGCGAACGATTAAATGTAGACCATTCAGCTGACCGGTATACAACGGTGTTAATGTCTAAATTCAAAGAATTCATGAAATCGAGCCATACATCCACCATTGTCTTCAGTGAGTTAGTATCTCACAACAGACCTGGTTGAACTCTATTGATCATAGATTCTCACTAAAACTCCAGGAAGTACCTATTGAAGCTATTCACAAGTGAGCTTACTTACTTACTTACTTACGCCTGTTACTCCCAATGGAGCATAGGCCGCTGACCAGCATTCTCCAACCCACTCTGTCCTGGGCCTTCTTTTCTAGTTCCATCCAATTCTTGTTCATTTTTCTCATGTCTATCTCCATTTCCCGGCGTAATGTGTTCTTTGGTCTTCCTCTTTTCCTTTGACCTTCAGGATTCCATGTGAGGGCTTGTCTTGTGACGCAGTTGGGTGCTTTCCTCAATGTGTGTCCTATCCACTTCCAGCGCTTCTTCCTGATTTCTTCTTCCACTGGGATCTGGTTTGTTCTCTCCCACAGTACGTTGTTGCTAATAGTGTCCGGTCAATGGATCTGAAGTATTTTGCGTAGACAATTGTTGATAAACACCTGTATTTTCTGGATGATGGCTTTTGTAGTTCTCCAGGTTTCTGCCCCATACAGTAGAACTGTCTTGACATTTGTATTGAAAATCCTGACCTTGGTGTTTGCTGACAGACAGTTGTTTTGAGTTTTAGATGTTCTTCAATTGTAGATATTCTGCTCTTGTTTTTCCGATCCGCGCCTTCACATCTGTATCAGATCCACCCTGTTCATCAATGATGCTGCCCAGATATGTAAAGGTTTTTACATCTTCCAAATCTCGGTCAATTGTGATTCGATTGGTGCATGCTGTGTTGTATCGGAGAATCTTGCTTTTCCCTTTGTGTATATTGAAGCCTACTGCTACTGAGGCTGCTGCTACACTGGTCGTCTTCTCCTGTATTTGTTGTTGCGTTTAGGATAGAAGGGCCAGATCGTCTGCGAAGTCTAGATCATCCAACTGCATCTCAGATGTCCATTGTATCCCGCGCTTTCCTTCAGACGTTGACGTCTTCATGATCCAGTCGATCACCAGGAGAAAGAGAAAGGGTGAGAGTAAGCAACCTTGCCTGACACCGGTCTTCACTTCGAACGACTTTGTCAACTGTCCTCCATGCACGATTTTGAAGTGTAATCCATCATATGAGTTCTGTATGATATTGACTATCTTCTGAGGCACGCCGTAGTGTCGAAGAAGTTTCCATAGTGTTGTTCTGTCCACGCTATCAAATGCCTTTTCGTAGTCACAAGTGAGCATATGATTTTTATTATCAGATGGGGATTCTATTTGAATTTCAGTAATATAATAGTTGAATTCATGAGTTGATTAAAGTTAGACCATTATAGAAAACCTAGAAGCATTGGAAGGTAGTTTCGTCCTAATTCGAGACTCCTCATCAGTTCGCATCCATGATCACATTCAAAGGATTCCAAATCATTATCTATCTGCTTCATGCTTAACCTATAGAGCATCAAGTTGGCATAATATTCTATCTATTTACAATTCATATTGTTATGATTTAATCAATTTCTATTCATTATTCTTTTTCATTTTCAATTAGATATCCCATCAAGCAAATTTAAGAGCATGGTATATTGTTTTATGGATTCTAGATGGTATATGGCATGGTGTTGTAACATTTTTTATACCATTCTTTTGCTTAGCTGGTGGTAATTTATATGCTGAAGCTATTTTCTATGAAACTAAGAATAATTCATATAGAATTTATGATTTTACAATGATTGGTAATGCATCATTTGTTTATTTATGGATTGCTGTAACATTACGTTCAACAATATGGACAAGAGATTTTAATATGATGTTAATTATGTCTCATATTGGTACAACATTAAATGTTGTTATTTTATTTCTTTTTCAAGTAAGTTAGTTGATTCCACTACTACTTTCATTTTAATTAGTAATATATTCCTACTATGTGAATATCAACTCTGAGATATGACAGGTACATTCAGTTGATGAGTGCCAGTTGGGACGAAACGTGCGTCAAACTAGATTACACTTCTAACCACTATCCTACTTTGGTTACTCTACCTGTGACTTAAGGGAATATCGAGGCAATCTGTAAAGGATGCACCTATGGCAATAAGAGACTGATCATTTGCAGTTCTAAACATCAATGGGAAGATTCAAGTAAATAATACCAAATGAATTTAAACTTCATCTCATTGTACAAGCAAATGATTATTAGGAGTAAGTAGCTACGTGGATAACGTGATGGTGCTCGAGGTGAATGATACTGGGTTCGAGTCTCAGAGTGAACATCAACAATTCTGAGATGTTGATACATTCATCTGATGAGTCCCAATTAGGACGAAATGCTCATTCTTTATTCTATTACTAACCACTATCCATTTTTGCTTATGAATTTTGTGACTTCAGGCAATATCAAAGTATTCCGTACAGTATGCTCATATGATAATAAGAGACTGATTAATTACAGTGTTAAACATCAATAGAAAGATTCAAGTTAAACAATAACCAAGTGAATAAAATATTTATAGTTTTAATTCCATTGAACATTGAATACACTTTGAGTGAATTATCTTCGAGACAGTTCCAACGACGTTGTATAAACATTCGTCTTCATCACTGTTATCAAATAACTCTTAACGATGTATAAATTTCATAAGACAATTTGAAGCGTTGACTACAGTTTATTATTATTGTACAATTCAGATCATTAAGTTCTCAGTCACTAAAACAAACTTTAAGTAGCAATTCCTAATGCAAGTGAACGTAAGGGAGTGACTATAGAGGGAAATAATGAGGCGTATTAAGAGTCATATGAATTGAGAAGATTACAGGATATACTACATATACGAAAGCGAAGGCGTCATCCAGCGATCTAATATTTAAGCTAGAAAGAGAGATATGTACGTGGGCTGTAACACATGTTTATACAGACATGATCATAATATCAAGAGATATAAATAGTTACCATATGAATGACATAGTTTGATACATAAATTGATTGAAGGGTTTTATAACAGCTGACATACAATTGAGTTTGATCATCACATTTAATTTGGTTAAACCTATTTGTTAACTTATTTAACGGATAGAGTCATCCGTACAATAACAACAACTTAGCTTGTATGATTGTACCTTTATTATTGTTACGCTTGTATGAATATGTATGCTTGAACATTGTGCTTACTGCTTATGCATATATTCATTCTGCTAGCCTTACTATTAGTTGCTTAATTGATTCGATGATTTATTCATTTCCTTATGTATATGTATAGATATGTACATTTTAATCTTATTCATTCAGCTCGCATGCTGACTTGCTTGCATCTTGGCTTTAGCTTTTCATTCTGAATTCATATGCCTATAGTTTTGATGATCTGTGCGTGACGTAATCAAAAACATGATCAACACTTGGTATTCGTCTTGTAATCTATACACCGGTTGAAGGTGTTATCTAGTAACAGTTATCAGGATGAACAGTATATAAAGTTTAAGGATTATATTGAATACTGACCACCATAGCTCGACGAAATGAAACGTAAAGATTTAAGGGCGAGACTCTAATTTATGGACGAACTTTGAACGGATCTTAAGCCACCTTGACAAATATTAGCCAATCAACAAACAGTCAGTACTGAGTAAAAATATATTATACAAAACCATGGAAATAAAATGGATACACTTCTTATACGTGGTTCAAAAATCTGTCAACGTTGGAAAGAGGTTCAAAGATTCTAAAATCGTAATGTATGCAACAGAGGAAATCATCCATACGGCGGCTACAGAATAGTCGGCCTCTGGAGCAATGATAAAGTCTCAAAAACTCTTTCAGCCTCGACCACATAGCTTCAATATTGTTTATGTGCACTCCGGTTGTTGAGTGCACAAAATGCTACTTTCGGATAACGACATGATGCACATAACCAAGCCTATGTAGGAGTCTGTACGCTCTCCAGTCATCCGTATATATTGTAGTACTTGGATGCAGCCAGTGTTACTGGGGCTTTTATTATCCAGTTCACAGTAATTGTCATAATTCGCCTTAGTTAGGAATTATATATGGGGTTTTCATCACGAACTGACATAAGCTATAATGCCAGAAATTTATTTAGCCAAATGCACGAGAAACTTTCGCGTCAAAATACAAGATCTGTTATCGTATACCTGATTGATTCGTCCACAAATTATAGTCCCGCCGTTTTATTTGTTATAGCTGCTCAATTATTACGTTTTGTACAAAATTCCCTGTGAACCGATCGTACATTAGCATGAAGCACTGAAGTTGGCGCTGTAACCTTGAAATCTCTAAAACGCTTCTGATTGACTCGTCCATAAATTACAGTCTCGCCAGTTTAAGTGTAATTAAGACGTTATAAACTTACTATCTCCTGCTTTATCGCAACAACCTCACAGAACTATTTAAGATTCAAGATGATATGCTATGGGTACTCGCTTACATGTTACATGTTATCGAGTATTCTGGTTAACAGCGTTTTTTTTTTCGTCATCATACGTCAATTTTTGTAATGTTTGTACTTGTTACATAACTTTTCTTCTCATTAATGAGTAGTTTGACGTAGTTGTTACTCACTACCTAAGTGAATGTTAAATCAGCTTAATATAAACTTGAACAAGTGAAACTTTTCGAATCTAGAACCGTTAAGTTCTGCTTATTACGTCGTTCTTTGGATCTTATTAACAAAGATAGGGAAGTTTAATACAGTAATTGGTATCTCAGAACAAGTTACAAAGTAACAATCAATCTGACATGTACACTACAAATTAGAGACAGTTAAATTAATGTTTCATACAATGATTTTACTGCATCAAAAGACTACTTAAATATGAGAACACTTACAATTCATACAACTTAATGAAGATCTAACAGACCCAAAGCAATTGAAATATAGAATAACCGCTTCATAGTAAGCCATTCATGGTCATTAGAACGAAACGGTAGGTACCTTTGAGTGTGTATACCATTTTCTACTATCCCTTAGAAGATTGATTCATTTGAATGAAAACCATTTTGTGTATAATTATGTTCTCAATTGATCTTGGAAGTTATACAAAACAAAAACGGTTGCTGACAAAAACAAATACTGACGAATTGAAGCATCAATTATCACCGTTCAATTTAAAGATAAAGCTGAATAATTCAATTATCAGAGAAGAGTTTTTGTGGATTCATGAGTCCGTTGAAGCTAGACCATCATGGAAAACCTGGATGATTGTTTCGTCCTAATATGAAACTCTTCATCAATCCTCATCCATGATCTCGCCTCTCAAGATGCCTCGTATACACAAACTGTTGAAGAGTCTCATACTAGGACGAAACAACCGTTCATTAATTCTAGATTTTCCATGGTGGTCTAACTTTAATCAACTCATCAATTCAATTATTAACTGTTGGGGACGTTAGATCCGCAAAACTCATATTTTGTAAATTTATCTTTGTGGAGCTTGTATACAGATGTATGCTTGAGCATTTCTCATCACCCCTGCACATAGTCGATTGACGAACTTATTGATTAAATGTTTAAAAAAACTTCCATGGCAATATCGATTATATACATTTTGTATAAATATGCTTGATTTGTGTGCTTGATGAGACTGGTATCTTCTGGTTGTCTGTAGAATACATTTTCTACATCTTACCAAGACATTTGGATCGAGTTAGCTGAGTCAGGGACAACGGATCAGTATAACCTATCGAGTCTCTGAAACCTTGATTCTTCGTTCCATTCCGTGTAAGACGAATCAGTGGTAGTATTCAAGTTAACGAACATAACATTAACATTACTATAATCAATAATTCATTCAACATAATAAATAGTTGCTAATTGCCTCCGACATTTTATAATAAAATTTTATTGACAGATTTTTCTCTTTTTTTAAAAAAAAGATTTAACTAAAAATCCAGCAGTAAAATCAATTAACGATTATTTTTCAAATAAACAGATAGAAAATGTTTATTACAGACAAACGGTGAAGATACGTGAATGACTGTTGCCATGGTAACTATGGATGATTAATAAGTAATTGAAATGAATTGTGATTTAGTTGGAGTGTGAAAATTTACAGTCAGTTAATAGTTTACTAAGCGGTTCACTGTTATAAGCAAAGATAGATAGTGGATAGATGTGTAATCTAGTTTGATGCACATTTCGTCTTATTTGGGACTCGTCAACTGGATGTACCTACATCTCAGATTTGATGTTCACTTTTGAGATTTGAACACAGTACCGTTCACTTCAAACGCTATCGTGTTATCCACTAAGTTACTGATTCTTGATAGCTACCTGCTTATGTGATGGTGTGAAGTTTAAATTCACTTGGTATTGCTTTACTTGAATCTTCCCATTGATGTTTAAAACTGCAAGTGAACAGTCTGTTATTAGTATATCTGCATACAGGGTGTATTGCCTCGATATTGTCTTAATTCACAAACATTGTAATCAAAGATGAATAGTGAGTAGTAATGAAATCCAATTTGATGCATGTTTCGTCCTATATGAGACTCATCAGCTAGATGTACCTAAATCTCAGGTTCATTGTTATTTCTAATCCGATTATGTTATAATTTTAGATAATCATTTAACTATAATTAAGATTATTTAAGGTTTATTTGACATAATTTCATTGAATGTTATTACAATTGAATGATACTATAGAAAGACTAGCTTAATTTTTACATACGGATTATATTAATCTCTGCAAAATCTCTCAGATAGATTGTAATCGTGTATTCACTGAAGACTCGATTGACGATAGAGTTTTTCTGTGTGTTTCGAATTCCTATCACAGTTCTAGATGTTACCGTCAAGCTATTAGAACCTTAGACTTTAAACTATGCTGTAACAAGCTAGAATCCCTGTAGTGGGGATTATTTCCTTCAACATTGTATGAAGGTAAATCTTGCTACTGTAGAGTGGTGACTATCACAAAAATCTTGGTACAGGATTTTCTAATGATCATCTCTCACCACCTAAGTTCTAAGCACAACTCAATCGATTAAATTCAATCAACACTAACGAATAAACAAGCAGTACGTTCATCAGTACTGACTAATCAGTCCCTATGAAGATGGAGATCCTGAAGTTTTAGCAAGCAAGCAATCCTTATTGTATTGATTCAGTTATGTTAAGAGTGAGAGGTTTAACACAATTGATTGTAAATGACTAATGTCATTATATTATTATTTAAGTGAGATCAAAAATATGAATCATAAGATCCTAAGTTAGTTATCATTCGGTTAACTTGATGAAACAATAATAACAACTATTTGAGTAATAAACATCGGGTTCAGTTTTTAGAGGCCCATGGAGCTGACTACAATCAGAGGAGTTGGCTATGTTCTATTACATTCACTTTACATACAAAATATATGTATTCAAAAGTCATTCTCGTTAATTGACTTATCTAAATTCCGTTATTGACTAACGTGATTTAAGTCGATGATTATTATATACGAGGATAGGTGATAACAAACATTCATACGATCTAATTGGAGTCAGATCTACGGGCCTCTAAAAGTTCAACTTCCTTGATTCTTTTATAGATAATCAGTTAGTTGTACTATTTCAATGAACAACATGTTATAGAACTAGTGAAACCTCCTGAAGGAAATTATGTCTCTCAAATATATATATAGGATATTTCTTTAGAAATATGTAACTTTGTCTGTTATGGTAATGGAATCGCTTGTCATTGTCGTTTTCTAGTTTAAATAGAATACTTATATGGTAATCATTTTCATCATGAAAGTGAATCTTAAGTTTTACCTTAAACAAAAGTTTCTTTAGAAAAGATGGTGGTTAGAGGTAATCAAATTCTATCAACTAGGGTTCCCTGTCGATTACTTTCAACAATCATCTTATCTCAACATAGAGCATCCAAGGTCGAGTCATCTAGACCGATGACCATATTGCATGTTGGTCGATAAGATTCGATCTACACTAGGAAGGACTAGACACGCATGACATCGATCATCACTCAGTGATCAATTAATTGTATATAAACGTTTCTATAATATAAAATAGGAATTTCTACTATTCTAATGAGACTTTATCACAACAACCATTGGAAGTATAAAAGAACAAGGGATCTATTTGTTTTATCATTGGAATTGATATGACAGTGTTGATCTCATCTAGATGCGGAGAATAATCCATGATATATTCAGAGTGAAGTCATCTATTAGCTCATATTGGAACACTTCTTAATGTATGTTAGAACAAAGAAGATAGATTGAGATTTCTTAAAATGCCTTCATAAGACAAATTAGAAACATATTCCATCATTTCAGTCCTTACTAGTTAAACTTGCTCTAGAATATCTGCTTTATAATTAAATTAGATATCAAAAACACTGTTATATATATATATGTATATCGGATATAACATTCTAAATATTATTATTTAAGTCCTGAAATGACATAAGAAGCGTCACAAGACCAAGAAACCTTTTAAACTGCCCATTGTTTCATGGATATTCTTTACTATAATTTCTCTTTCTCCTGGTAATCGACCGGATGAATCATGAAGACGTCAACATCTGAGTCGAAGCATGGGATACAATGGACAGCTAGAATGTAGCTGGACGATCTAGACTTTGCTGATGATCTGACTATTCTATCGAACACCCAACAACAAATGCAAGAGAAGACGACCAGTGTGGCAGCAGCCTAAGCAGTAGTAGGTCTCAACACACACAAAGGGAAAAGCAAAATTCTCCGATACAATACAGCATGCACCAATCGACCACACTTGACGGAGTAGATTTGGAAGATGTAAAAACCTTTACATATTTGGGCAGCATCATTGATGAACATAGTGGAACTGATGCGGATGTGAAAGCACAGATCGGCAAAGCAAGAGCAGCATATTTACAACTGAAGAACATCTGGAACTAAAAACAACTATCAACTAACACCAAGGTCAGGATTTTCAATACAAATGTCAAGACAGTTCTAGTGTATGGGACGGAAACCTGGACAACTACGAAAGCCATCATCCAGAAGATACAGGTGTTTATTAACAGTTGTCTACGCAAAATAATTCGGATCCGTTGGCCAGATATTATCAGCAACAACGTACTGTGCGAAAGCGAACAATCCATATCCCAAAGGTGGAAGAAATCAGGAAGAAGCACTAAGAGTGGATAGAACACACATCAAGGAAAACACTTAACTGCGTCACAGGACAAGCCCTCTCATGGAATCCTCAAGGTCAAAGAAAAAAAGGAAGACCAGAGAACACATTCCACCGGGAAATGTAGACAGATATGAGAAGAATGAAAAAGAATTGCATAGAACTAGAAAAGAAGGCTGAGGACAGAGTGGGTTGGAGAATGGTTGTCGGCAGCCTATGCTCCATTGGGGATAACCGGCGTAAGTAAGTAAATAAGTAATTTACCATTCTTTATAATCAGTGACTTTAAGTAAGTGGATTTCCTTATTTTATAGTGATATGAGCAGTCAGAATAAAAAGTCTATACTGCGACACTTTAGCTCGGATTTAGTCTTAATGACCATCGATTTGTTCACTATATAGCATTGTCCAAATAGCTCATTAAGGCTTCTGTATAGGATCTACATCTAGAGTATCCTGAAGGTTCTTCTTCAATTCCATTTAGCCCCAATTAAATAAAAACAAATGAAAACATACAGTGTTTTACGAACAGAATACCTACATTCTAACGAGATTACCACTTTAAACTAATGTATATTTTGTAAATCTTTATCCTGTCCTAATTACACAGACATTTGTTCCTTCTACAAGTAATGAATATCAAAGATATGCTCAATTATGTCGAAGTCCTGCATTTTGGTTCGCATTCCCATTAACTGTTTTTATAGCCAATATTCCAGGATTAATTTGGCGTTTAGCCTCAGATACATGGTGGACTATACGTATTGAATTGAAAAATTTACCTAAAAAAAATAAGCGTAAATCTTATTTGAATAATCCATTAGTTTGGTTGAAAGCATTCGTTTTTGGTCAAACAGAAGAAAATGAATCAATCCTTCAGAAAAATGAAAATGATATAAACACTTTTAAAGAACAAATAAATCATAGTTACCAGCCATAAAACATGTTATTGTTACTATGTTTATCCCTTGGATACAAAGAATAATTAGTTTATCTTGTGAATTTTTGTAAAAAATGCAAACTGTTACATTTAAAGAAAAGATTCATAATCTTCATTTACGTTTTTCTATTTCATTTTGTAACTAAATACTATAAATATACTTTCATTTCTTCATCAAGTGCAATAATACATAGGTACATTGTAATATAAATTTCGGTTAAACTATTTGCCTACTCATGAGTAAGCAAACTTTGATAGACAATTTATTTGTTACTTGCCTCGATTATTATTAAAACCTGTTGTGTACAATGTGATTAATTTGATGAATCATCGCTGTACCTTTGATATATTACACAAAGTGTCTGTGTGTTTCTAAGAGGGTTAACATTTACCCATACATAATAAGTGTACAAAATATATTGCATTGCATTGCTTGAACATGAATGGTTTTGTTTGTATTGTGTTACGATGTATTGAATTTCAACAATTTCATGACAACGTCACATATTGATACGATTATTATTGTCAGCTGATTCTGATAATGTTTACGTGGCTTTAAAAGAAAAAAGACAAACTCAGAATGAAACGTTTATCCATCTTAAAATAGCTGACTGATAACAACTTTATTTTTGTTTTAAATCATGTGCTCTACAAAGTTTTCTTTATTACAATGATGTATGTGTGACTGAGATACGTCTCATTTCTATTTATATCCGATGAGATAATTTAGTCTTTTTGAACCATAAAACTCCAATTTCATGGATGTATAATGATAAAATGTCTCCTGATCAATGGTCACTAAAGTTGTTTCAAGATTGACTTAATCGATCACTGAAATTCAGATGTCAATTATCATCAGTGACGTTCGGTCACAACTCAATATAATAGCATGTCATAATGTTGTGGTTTAAAAGAATTTGATCATATTAACATCAATTATTATTAAATCGAGAGCAGAGAATTATAAGACAACTCAACTTCGTTAGTTCATGAAATAAGTGAACCACGTAATTTATACTACATAGATCAAACTCACTAGTTGGTTGGTATAGCAGCATTCCATTTACATGTTGGATCTCCGATGAAAACTATAAAGTCAGGTCACATTGAAGAACATTTCAGGTATGTTCAAAGGCTGAACCTTGAATGTCAATGGTGATAATGGATCATAAAACTTCAGGGTGATCCTTAGCAGGAGGAACTGTACGAACCAGATTGTGAGACTTGGTGCAAAACATTTGAATACAATCACATAAATATAAGTGTCATGCATGAACATTCAGGTTAAAATATCCAATTTATTGTTTAATGCACCACGACACAGTGGTTTAGTAAAATATGAAGACCATACATCATATACTTCATTTGAACATCTGTCAGTTGTCCCTCACAAATTCATCATTCCTTTTTTTCGTTATTATAATTACTCTCTGCTTATGTTTCTACCCTCCTCGATTCGATCTTCTCAACCTTCTGCCGCCAGACATTCAACTTTTGACTGGTGTTACACACTACTTGTATCTGTCAACATAAGTAGCATACACCACACGTCTATAAAGAAACCAAGCGCATAAATATGCTCAATACTTTTAGCGGCCTGCTGACTTCCACACAGACGAGATTTATGGATCTTAAAACATATCGTAGAATAATTTATTCATATTAACCACAATAAATCGCAAGTTATGATGTAGTTCAATGTAGGCCACATATAGAGACAAACTTTAGAGACTGTTGTAGTATGATCATTAGAAGTATTGAAACTGATTCACTTACTAAGAATTCCCTCAATTTAACGCAGGTAAAATTAGATGAGCAAAATTGAACGTATTATATTTGGGATTCGTAGTAAGCGTATAATCATTTACAAAGGGATCCTCAGTTAGTATAAAAATAACAGCCGCCATGGCTTAAATGAGAACCCAGATTTCTATAGTGTACTGTACGTCTTTTCTTTAGGTCTATCATGTGTATGTCAGGCTGTGTAATGGATAAACTCTGTATAATCTATGATGTACTCATTATTACGACAATCGACGACGGAAATCGGAACAGGCTTACCTGGGTCATTGCGACGTATACGGCTTTTGTGTCTGACTTGCATATATATCCTAGATTTATCAAAGATTTTTAGCAGACCTCTAGTAGACCGCAGAAAATTAGTTCCTCGGTAGTATGCGGCAACAAAAAATATGCAAGCCACATTTTTCGATGAATCTATTTCGCTTAAGTGCACTTCTGAGTCCCTTGTTAGGATGGAATGGCTTTTCAGTGCTTCCGGGTTTTCAATGGTGGTCTAGCTTAAATAGACTTGTAGTGACCTACTTTTGTCAACAGAACGCGATTGGTGTAGTGGAAACAATTACTATTATAACCAATTGTACCGGGGATTGTTTTACCGTACATTTTGATTAACTGTACCAAAACACATTCATTCTTCCGTCGCTTGTGACCTTACACGAATTCAGTTACTCTCAGCAACCACACTTGTAGCCCGGCACGACCGCTAACAAATACATCTTGACCACAGCCATCAACTACCTCCTGATATTTGGCCTTATCTTATCGGTTAACTGACACTTAATCTTCATGTAGTGGTGATCATAGTCGACCGCAACTCGACGCCACACTACAGACTTATGAATTCAACTAATAACATTACTACAATATCCACAAACCCTCATTCTGATTTCATAATTGTTTTCATTGCGTAATTCAGCACAAAAGACTCCACCTAATTAGTTAATTTGTGCTAACTGATGACTCATTTATACTTGATTGAGCGGTAATTACAAATTTCACATATAATACATCCATTTTTGTTCAACTACTTTTACCTACCTTAAATTGCACTTCCTTGAGAATTTTTATCTATTAAACCAGTTTGAATACTTCCAATTATGATAACGACGATGTGATGGGGCCTGTCACTGAACAGATAGATATACGTTCCAATTCTGAAGCTTTCGAGGATTACATTGAAAGGTTTGAAAGCTGCAGTATGACCAAGAAAGATGAGGATGGTAAAATTGTGACTCATTTCCTTACATCAACCAGAAAAGATTCCTACAGCTTACTAAAAAAATTTGACATTTCTAGATAATGCTCTCTAAGACCTCTACTAAATCATGTAAACGGTGCAAATTCTGAATACCATGAAAGAGCGAAATTTCACAAAGTTGCTCTTCAAAACAACCGAAAATTTAATGGGTTTGTCTTCGAATCGCAGATACATGCCGCTGAGTGAAATTCCGGTAGTGAATTTCATGTCCATGTGCGTGATCAAGTAATCGCTAAATCTGAGAATAGAGCTTATACAAATACCGAAGTGTTCCTTCTAATCTGCTACAACTGCGTTTATTAATTGTGAGAGAGTGCATGAAATTAACTCTCGGGATATCAAAAATTCTATCACATTACTTTGTAGTGACTCACGTTTATCACGAGAATACGACTGGTCTAATAAAAGCAATTATTTTTATAACCAACTGTACCAGTGTTTGTTTTAATGTGCTTTTGTTTAACTGTGCTAATTATAGCCATTTTGTGCTTCCATTACCTTCCTTCATTGTTCCGCGGTTTTTGGTACTGTTCGCACGTACTCCTGTCTTCTGTTTCCACTTGTACCATTCCTTGGCACGATCTCGGTATTCGTTCAACACCACGAGATCGCCAACGAAATAAATCTGGTTACGTTCGACCTTCGCCTTCTGATTTATCTGGCACGTGTTTCTTGGTAGCGGTGTTCACAGTTAATCTCAACTCGACGCCACGCTACAATTGGTGATCCCAAAGTTTGGAACACGCCTCAACCTCGGGTCAAATCTTCCAAAGAAGCTTATTTGGTGAGTCTATTATTTATCTATCCACGTCTGTCGTATATTTTCATAATAATTTTTAATATATAATATACACGACATGACGGATAGCGACAAGAATACTATTAATGTTATAGACTCAGACGTACAGGCCATTCACTTTCGACCTGCATCATTTATCCCCCACGACCCAGAGGTCTGGTTTGCTGCATTAGAGTCTCAGTTCGAGACTCGTCGCATCACGAGCCAAAGGCGAAAATACGCCTACGCTCTCGAATCAATACCCGGGGACCATTTAGTATCTGTTCGTGAGGTTGTCCTCAATTTTAACGTGCCTAATGTTTATGACCGCCTCAAAGAGGCAATTCTCCGACATTTCCTCCCATCGAGGGAGGAACGATTGAGGACACTGTTAGCACGTCACCCCCTGAGTGATGCTAAACCAAGCCATCACCTCACGCGCCTGCAATCTCTTGCAGGACCAACAGCATCTGACTCGGAGATAGTTAAGGAATTATGGCTCGAGTCACTACCAGCCCATATCCAACCTACTGTGACGGCACTGCTCGAGGACTCACCGCTTAACCAGGTAGCCCTCATAGCAGACAAAAGTTTGGCGAGGACTAGTAATAGAGACACCTATGTAGTTGCTTCGACAGCACGTCCTAAAGTAGACATGGACGCCGGTCATTCCTCAGCTCACGGTGTCAGGGCCGGGTGTATTCACACACATCTTAGTTTTCGAGACCGTTGTAACGTACCCCAACCCTACGTCCCCCGAGCTCGCTCAAGTTCTCGCAAACCCGTCACCACTTGCCCAAAAAGGGCATCTTCCAGGCCACGCCGAAAGGCGGCTACGGAAGCATGTGACAGTTGGTGCTAGTTCCATAGGTCCTTCGGGTCTGGCGCCCGCCGTTGTCAAGCACCATGCTCATACAAGACGGGAAACTCGCCGGCCCTTCTCCCCAGGTTGGTCGCCTATTCTATGTGCACGATTATCGCACAAACGCTAGGTTCCTAGTAGACACTGGGGCCCAAGTTTCTGTCGTACCACGAGGTAGCAGCAAGTCACAAGCCACAGTGCTTCGACTACGCGCTGCGAATGGCTCAGTCATTCCTACCTAAGGTACACGACAACTCGCGGTCAACCTGGGCAACCGACGACGGTATCTGTGGACGTTCATCATTGCTGATGTTCCCACAGCCATACTAGGTATCGATTTTCTACAGCACTATGAATTGCTTGTCGATTCACGTAGGCTGCAGCTAATCGATACTTCGTCGAACAGCAAATTCATGGGCTGTAAAGCCCACATGAACGCGTACCGAATCCTCGGCACTTTTTACTCGCGTGACGATAAATTCCACGCTTTATTCGAGAAATTCCCCACACTAACTAAACCACTCGAGGAGCCTCCATCTGTGACCAATCGTGCGGTACACCACATAGTCACCCGCGGACCGCCAGTCACGGCACGACCTCGCCGACTGGCACCGGACAAATTAGCTTTTGCTAAGCGTGAGTTTGACAATTTGCTAGCTACTGGTATTATTCGTCCTTCTCACAGTCCATGGGCCTCTCCTCTACACATGGTGCGCAAAAAAGATGGGGTTAGTTGGAGACCATGCGGCGACTACCGAGCTCTAAACGTAGTTACGCGCTTTGATAGCTACCCCATCCCCCACATACACGACATCACGGCATCGCTAAAGGGCACGACTATCTTTTCTAAGACCGATCTGGTACGAGCATATCATCAGATCCCAGTAGCTCATGAAGATATCGAAAAGACCGCTATCACGACTCCTTTCGGTTTGTTTGAGTTCCTACGAATGCCATTTGGATTACGGAATGCTGCTCAAACTTTTCAAAGGTTTATCGATAGCATTGTACGAGACCTCGATTTTGTTCACGTCTATATTGATGACCTGCTAATCGCATCATCAAACGTAGATGAACATTATCAACATCTTACACTATTATTCCAACGCCTTTCGGATAATGGAATAGTAGTTAACCCAGACAAATGCGAGTTAGGTAAACGAGAGATAATATTTCTGGGTCATGTTATCAAGCAAGAGGGTATCCTACCTTGTGAGGACAAAGTGCAAGCAATAAAGGAGTACAACGTGCTGTCCTCACTCAAGGAACTGAAAGCTTTTCTCGGTTTGGTTAACTTCTACCGTCGTTTCATCCCACACGCGGCAGAACGGTTACGACCACTAACCGACTTACTACGCGGCAACCCACACAGATTGGAAATGAACGATTCTGCACGTACTGCATTCACTGAAATCAAAACGGCTCTTGCGCAAGCCACTCTTCTCGCCCATCCCGATCCATCAGCCACGCTTAGTATGGCGGTTGATGCATCCGATGTTGCTATAGGAGCAGTCATGCAACAAAACATCTCCGGTAGTTGGCAACCTCTCGAGTTTTTCTCACGACGCCTTACTACCACGGAGACGAGATATAGCGCTTTTGGTCGCGACCTGCTAGCAGCCTACTGCGCCATCAAACATTTTCGGCACGCAGTAGAAGGACGTCAATTCATTTTATTCACCGACCATAAGCCCTTGACGTATGCTTTGCATACCAAGTCTGACCGCTACTCACCACGAGAGTGCAGACAATTGGACTATATCTCCCAGTTCACGACAGACCTTCGACACATCCAAGGCAAGTCGAACTGTGTTGCCGATGCTCTATCACGAATCCAAATGGATGCAGTTACCTTGCCGGTGCTCGATCTTCATGCTATGGCCGCTGCCCAAGCAAACGATCCCAGTTGTACAAAGGCACCACACTCTACGTCTCTTCAGTATCAGGAAGTACCTCTAGCCACGACTTCTGGCACCATTCTATGTGATACGTCTACCGGTCTTCCTCGACCCATCGTACCCT